TTTTTTTTTTTTTTTTTCTTTTTTTTTTTTTTTTTTTCAAATCACTGTAGCTATTTTAAGTATCTCCATGCCACCCAACATTGTAATCCTAGCTACAGCTTTCCTGGCTCCCAAACACATAACTTCCTGCTGCATCGATGGCCTCGTTCCAGAACCCACGGTTTCCCTCGGCACCAAGCCAAGCTGCAGTCAGGGCATCCTCCGTGTCTCCGACCACATACCCAGCGGAAGAAGTTCTCCTTCAGAAGCTGACCGTCCATCACAAAACCTCCTGTAATAGACGGTGAGTCGTGACGAGGCAAGCTGAGAGGCCATCTGCGCGCGCTGGGGTCCGGGAGATATTTTTGTCGCAGAGAGTGCCTGGCTGAGGAACCCAGGACTGGCAGCAAACTCTGCTGATGAGAGAAAGCTGTGGAAAGCATCAAAAAACTTTCCAGAGGTCACAGTGGAGACATCAAGGATGGAAGAAGGGTTTAGCATGAAAGCTGGTTTTCTTTTGCAGATACTTAAGCGTCGGAGGACAAATTAGACAATGTTTTTCTTGTTGGACTATTTTAAAAAAGCTGAAAAGCAAAAAGAAAGCACTTTTGTTTTCAAAGCATGCAGACTTCAAGTTATCTGGAGCTCATGTAAAGATGGTCTATAAAAAGTGGAACACTTTAAAAATAACATGTCTGCGTGTGAAATTACAAACAGTTTCATCATCCAAGGTGTGTAATCTTAGTAAATTATTTAGAGAACCCAGGGAAATCTTCGTTCACACATGTAAAACTAATAATCAATTAAGGGAATGATTGCAGTGATCTTGAGCCCTCAGGTTGCCCCACATCAAAAACAAACATGGCCCAATAGTACAAATTCAGGTTGAAACTCCAGGAAGCATTTAAAGAAAAAACATAAAGTGTGATGGAAATCTGCTTCTCAAACTCCTGTAGTGCCTCCCAGAGGGTGGTAGTGTACCGTCTATTATGATGCTTCTGGTTTTGTTGAGGTTTTCTCAAGTTGGAGCTATCATTGCTGTATCTATTGCAGACAAAAAGGGGACAGCCAGTGATTGTTTCTGGTCTTTGTGGCCCCATAGAAAGTCTTCATGCTAGCATACCACACTGTGCCAGTTCTTGTTTACGCTGTTGATGTTTCAAGTTTCTTTCCTTTTTGTTGAACCTCTCCACTGCTCCAGCACTATTTTCTTGGTTTTTCCGATAGTCAAGGCCAGGATGTTGATTTTGCCGCATATTGACAGTGTTTCTTCTCTGTGTGCTTGCTCGTGTCAACTTGAAGTCAGACCAACCACCGTTGTGTTGTGTTGTGTTGTGTTGTGTTGTGTTGTCTCATCTGTAGATTATTTGATAGTGTATGAGTAGTGGGTTAGGGGATAGTTATGGCTTCATAAAGGATAGGAGAGGGAACGTAGCACACAGCCCTGCATGAAAGCACTGCTAAATGTAATAATGGAGAAGCTGTTTTGGGGCAGTTGGGGAAAATCTTCAATTCGCTCGGGTTCCTACACAGTCTGGAAGTCTATCTTGTCTGTCCATCTTTCCTTCCTTGTCTTTCTATCCTTCCTTCTGTACGCCTTTTGGTTGTCATAAATATGACTATAATCAATAGAAAAACATCCTGACTAAAGTGCCGACTTTCTCCAGTCCAGAGTGAAGAAGTGATGGCCTCTACTGTGGATTGGTTGGCTCTGGAGTCAGGAGTTAGCAGATAGATTTTAACATGCTGTGCTATGAGTTTCTCAAAGCACTTCAAAACAACCAGTGTCAGCTCTATTTGTCATTATTCCTTTAGATCACAGGCTTTTGGGGCATTGGGGTAATGGTGGTAGATTTTACATACAGTAGGAAGGAATAGTGGTGTCAGGGAAAACAGAGCATGTTCTCGCATGGGAATTCCTGCTGGTTCTGCTGCTCTGTTTGGGTTCACCATTTTCAGCATCTCTCACTTGTTCCTTTCAAGTGGTTGTGTGAAGAATGGTCTATGATAGAAATGTGACGTTATGTAGAGCTGGAATCCCAAAAAGGGTAAAAAAAAAAAAAACATACATGGTAAAATTTTACTGCCGGTAAATAACTAGTCAAAGTATGAAGTCCACACACACACACACGCACACACACACACACACACACACACACACACACACACACACACACGCATGCAAACAGTGCAGGTTTGCTCCCAGACAGCCAGATGGTGAATAAACTGGAGTCTGGAGTCATGTGGGGAGTAATGCCATCAGCCTGTGGTGTAAAGAATGATGTCCAGTGCTGACTTGTGAACATACAAAGGCCAAAAGGTGACAGACTAACCACAGAGGGGATTGCTTGCTCTTTCACAGTTCTAATTTACCAAGTTAGCTGTGTGTATGTGTTTTATGAGGCTCTTTGAGGAAAAGCGTTTTCCTTTGACTGCCAGTTAGAACCACGAGTTTAATGCCAATAACTAGTTAAAATAACTATATGCTTGTTGATTATTTAAGGGGGGGGGGGCATTTTTGGTTTTGCTTTTGTTTTAGTCACACAGTTGAGACAGATGGATAGTTTCTCAGACAACAGATCAGATCTGAGTATCAACAAGGTGATGGCAAGGAGAAAGAAAGATTATGACACTCTGCTGCTTCATCATCCTCCAGACGGATGAAGAATGGGAACAGCCAAACATCAATGGCACAAGATTAGGAAAACCCCTCATGGATGTGTTTGTCCTGTGTCTGGATCCACTTGAACATTACATATGGATTGGAGATGATTGAAAAGGGTGGATGAGATGTATTGAGACAGACTGGCAGCTTGTACTAATGTGTTTTTCCTACTGCACTTACTTCAGCAACTCAATAAAATTTATTCCATGTAGTGGCAACGTTCTTATTTATTCGTATCCGCCGTGTCCTCACTCTTGATGATTGGGAACATTGTTGGCATTCAGTGTTCTTCTGTTTCTTCATTATCTGAAACTGACTGGCATCATTACTTGCCTTGCTGTCCTAATAATCCCAGGCTTGGCAAAAGCACTCATAGACACTCGGCTGTTTTATAAAAGCATTCAAGTTATTGATGGGGTCCCTAATGTAGTAAGGGACAGCTGAGATGATGTGTGCACTCACCTCTGAATTTAAATTAGGCCTCAGTTTGTAAGTAATTGCTTTGTCTGATTCATACCAGCATCATACATTTGTCTGATGTGAGTGAAATGCAGTCAGTTTAGCCCAACTTATTTGAGCCGTGTGTTGCAGCCTGAACGTTTGCACTACTCATTTCTCCAGGTGCTTGTCTTAAGTTGTTTATTACTGATCCCCAGGTTTGTTGGCAAGGACAAATGCCGTGTTTTTGAGCCTGTTTCATATTCATGCTGCTCGTGTCAGAAGATTTATGCCTGTGAAGCATGCATCATTGATCTAAAGAAATGTATAATGTCTTAAATACTCATACATTTTTGAAGTTTTTTTTTTTTTTTTTACATTGGGGCCGTGGGTTTTAGTGTGCTATTTTTGTACTTGTGGTTCATGATGTTCTGCCCTGATCTAATGATTCTCAGGAGATGTGAAAAAATAAATAAGTCACACATCCACCCATACCACCCATTTTCTTCACCTTGCCAAAAATACGTACATTTTAGACCTTCCTCATAGGATCTGATCATTTTGTTATTTCACCATTTAATCCTTTCTGTGGATGTTTGATATGAACTATATGTCCATGGGGACATTTTGTACTGTACAAATTAAAATGTTCTAAGATCTATTCATATTCTGCTATGAGAAAATAGGATTATATTAGTATAATAAATATTAGCTACCAGCAAAGGTTGAATCAGGGGTCATCATCTTTCATGTAGCAGTAAACAGGTCCATGCAGGGTTAACAACTCCAATCAACAGAAACTAGGTGCATTTTACAATTTTTTGAAAGTACAACATAATACATTGAATCTAAGCCGTATAGGTCAAACGTTCCTGACGTTTTGTGTGAATCTTAAACTCAGCAGCCTTTTGATTTGACCAGTTTCATTTTTCTTGCTGCCTTGATTGACACCAACCAGAGGAAAAGTCTTGCCTTTCTTTAGTGTACAGTTGAAACCTATTTACATGCACTGTTTACAATACATAACATTCTTGCCTTGCTGTCTAGATGGTTTAGTACATGAGTTTAAAATCGTTTTAGAAGTAGTCTGTGAATAAATGGCAGCCGCCTGTAAGGGGATGAATTGGCCTGGAGCCCCCTCTTACAGAGCATTCTGACTTGTCCTTCTGAAATAAAGCACATGTGGAGTACAGTTTAAAGCCAGCCATTTTGTTCTTTCTGGGGGATAAAAGAGGGGTTTTCTCTCTCTCTCTCTCTCTCTCTCTCTCTCTTTCTCTGAAACGTTTGCCAGCTGATGTTAAGTCTCCGGGAGGTATTGCTGTGAAGCTTTTTAAGTAAAACAGCTGCCTCCTGCCAAGAGCAGTCAGGGAAACAAAGAGAGAGCTGCAAATGATAAAAATTGCAACACTCAACTACAATATGCAAAAGGTTTTGTTTGACAGGGGATGCCAGCTGAATTAGTCAAGACAAGGTTTTTTGAGGGTTCATAACTAGAGACTTTTTACCTTGCATGATATTTTAGAACTTATTGTTTGATTATTTTTTTTATGTTATTTATTTATTGCCTTCTACACCATATTTTCCATTTGATCATGTGTGTAATCTTCAGTTTCAGAAGCAGAATAAGCCTTAACTCCCTATCCTTAGATATGAAGCTGGGTAAGAATGTGGCTCGAACCTTCCTGGATTATTACAAGCTTAACAACCTCACCAAGGATTACGGACCTGCTCTTATGCACTGGTAAAACTTTATTGCAAATTTTTCTTTTGTTTTGTTTTGCTGTATTCTGAATTAAATACCACAACTTTGTCGATATGTTTCTGTCTGCAGCGCTGAGGGGATTTCCCAGGTGGGCAAAAGCAAGACTGTGAGCAGCACTTGTCCTGTCAGAGAATCAGGCGACAGGAAAAAGGAGAAGGACCAAATTTTCTCACACTAGTAGACATAGGTTGAGCATATTTTGAATATAAAGTATTTTGGCAGGAGAATCAGACTCCTGCCAAAACGCCTTCCTATTGATCCAAACATTTTTTTTAGGGTCTCCAGAACACTGGGACCAGTTACCAATCGAACACAAACTATTTTACCACACATTTCACGTAACACGCATATGAATCTCAAGTTAGCCTAGCGCATGTTTTTGTTTCTGGACTGTCAGAAAAAAACCAAACACACACACACAGACTTACAGACAACAACGAGTAAACGTCAGGCATAAAAGCTCTTGTTTCCCTGATCACAAAGACTTGTATAAAAAGATCTATAACAGTGACATGCTTGACATTCAAACCACCTTTCCGTATATGTGTGCCTCCTATAAAACTCCTATATTTTTTTCATAGATATGAAAACTGTGTGTGTAGGTGTTTGGGGGGTAGGATTATTAATTTAAATTAATTTGAATGCCTTCATCTGGCAGCTTTATGTTGTACAGAAAATATGTGTTCATGTTACGATTGACTTGTTTAATTTATTTCCCAGACAGTGTTATGTCTTTTGTTACTCTTATTATTCATTAAATATTTAACCACTTCATACATCTGGTCTGCTTGATGTAGTTTTGTAGCAGAACTGTAGAGCCTGTTGTTCCATGATTAATGTAGACTGAAACAATGTACAGGAATGTGTTCTCTATATTCATGATTCTGAACCCTTCGGCATGCATTGTAAAACACTTAGAAACATATATGTCTCAATGATGAAAAATATTAACACCATTTCAAGTTTTTTGCATCTCATCTTGTTCCAACCATAAACTCCACTGTATTTAACCAGGGTTGTGTTGGAAGAACAACATTAGTACAAGTACATGATTGTGAAGTGTGAAACATATGTTTTAATCACATCTGACAAAAACACCCTCTTCCAGCCGTTTGCTGTGCTCTCTGCATGGCTTGTGTTGCAAATGAGACTTTTTTGTTTTGTTTTGTTTTCCTTTAGCAATGAGTTTCTTCTTGCCACTTTTCCATAAAGAAGAAATTTGAGGAATTTGTCACAAAGATGAGTGACATGATTTTCCACTTCACAGATTTTCTGTGTTCTCGGTTTATGTAGTGCTTTACTGCATCTCAGACGGCTTGCAGTTGTGCCATACTCTCCATTTTTTTGTTGAACTGAACAGTTGATTGTGATGTTACAAGCCGGGAATATTGTTTTACAAACAAACTCCACATTATGCACCTCCACCTCCATCCAATGTGCACTACTTTGTCTCACTTCCAATCCAGAAAAATGCATTGAAAATTGTGGTTGTAAATTTAAGTGACAAAATGTGAACTTGCAGGGACATAAACACTTTAGCAATTCACTGACTTTTAAATAGAATTACCTGTTTAACTCGCAAAGATGAATAAAGGGTATTAAACTTTTGCAGCTATCCAAAACGTATGATGCACGGTAATTTTTGTCATCATTTTACTTCCTCCTCGGTTTTGTTAGGCTAGCTGGTATTAGTTTGAGTTTTACTTTATTGTTGGTAAATACAAGACTTCCTAATAAGCCCGCATAGAGATGACTGATTATTAGGATATTCGATGCCAATCCCAGCTGTTACACCGGGAGACACATTCAGAGAAAGCAACAAAGTGTTCTGATTTGCTACTTTGTGGTCACGTGACCCCACATCCGCTCTGTGGCTGTTGCTGTTATGACAACGAACTTTGGATGGAGCCGATGAATGGTAGCGACGGAGAAGATGGTCAACTCTCACAAAAAACAGCCCAAGTCCCTCCGATGTACAGTGTATCTGGACATTGGGAAAGTAAGTGTGTCCTTTATGCGTCGTCACAAAACCCCCGAAAGCGGACTTGTTGCTAGAGCTTTAGGAACGTAAGCTAGCTAGCAAGTTTACATCCTGTTTTCTCAACAATGTTGATGGAGCTAAGCAGAAGATATGCTTTTATATTTTCCTTAATCACGCGGTGCTGTTCATGTTTTACAAAATTCAACAGTGTTACGTACAAATATTTTAAGACATGACGTGGAAGAGTTTATAAAAACCTATAACTGAATGCTTCGTGAAAGTTTTTGTGTGTGTGTGTGTGTGTGTATAAGATTTTTTTGTGAATTTTAACAGTTAAATGTTTCCACAATGGTGCTTTATAATTAGATCACGTGTTGTGTGGTTTATTTTAATTTTTTAATTCAAGTTATCCGTTGTAAGTGTTTTTTTTAACAGTATTAGTCTGAAAATGTGTTTAGTTTATTCTTCCACCTATTCATTCCTCCATCCTCCTTACAGCCTGATGTTTTGCAGGATCTGTTTTACAATCTGGACATTGTTAAATATTTGTTGTAACCTCTTTGAATTGTTTTGTTTATGCTATTACATACACACGTATAACTTTTGATTTCAAGTGCAGACTAAATTGTGCCATAATGAATGTGTAGGAAACCTACATTTATAAAGCAAATAAAAATGACCAACTGGATTTACAGGAGATTATTTACTTCAGTATGCCAAATATGTCTTTCCTTTGTGGACATATTTGTCTTTGACTTATGCCAATTGGGATCAGATATCTGCCACCTACCAATAGATGTTCACTTAAGTTGCAAGTTTAAAAAAAAAAAAAAGTATTTCGAAAGTTAAATCAAAAGCATGAGCAGTTTGCTATACTATTAATTATATTTCTACTAATGCCAGACGTAATCTAAATGTAAAACTGTGACTGCAGATTTATTAATTATTGCCATGGTATTAGGTATTAATACTGTGGTATTAGTGCCATGATATACTGTTTGTTTTCAGGTTACATGCCCAGGAGTCCTCCTTAAAAAAAAGTATGGCATCTACATCAGTGTGCGTATAATGGGCCAGTACAAGAAGACTACATGTTTGCCTCCTGTTTTCCCTCTCGTGTTCAATCACAGAATGGTTTTTGTCAAGGTGAGAATAGAACAGCAAGCTGTTTGCTACACTCTGTTGTAGTTGCTGGATAACTTAGTCAGGTTGACATATTTCCTGATAAGTTAGCCTGTTTGCACTGAGGAGAGTAGCAGAGGCAAATTCTGGCCTGTCAGCCTGATCTTGTTATGATTATTGATTTGTTTTGTTTGCTCTCTCTCTGTTTTACCAGAATTTCTCTGGCATTTTTGACCCTGCTGATGTAGCTGACCACCTCGAAGGTAAATGGCCATCTGGGATCTGCTTGCTCATCTCCTACTAGTCCTGGATTTTGTTCTTTGCTATTAGCTGAGATAGCAATCATTACAGACTGTTTATGCTTTCCCCCTCCTCAGCTGACACCACAGTTTTTGAGCTGATTCAGTTGGTCCCTCCAGGTATGCTTTCTGATGATGCCATATGGGCATGTTAAGCTCGACTCTATCAAGTCATTGCACTGTGAAAAAGGACCTTTTAATGTGAATTTAATGTAACTGTATGTGCTTCTGTTGCACTGCTTTTAGAGGGGGATATTCTTGCCACAGCGGAAGAATGCAGCAGAACTTTCCTGTATCCGGGTCCCAGCCTGACTACCACAGAAGCACCTGCAAAAAGAGATATGATGATGAACAGAACCTCCTTGTTTCCTGTGAGTTGGTCATGGTTTTTCATTTGTGTAATGTTTTTCGGGGATTAGGCTGGTATAGGTTAGACTTAATGCAGTTTATTTCTGTGTTTATACAAAGCATGTTATACTATGGATAGTATTGGAAGCAATAAGTTTCATTATCAAGGAACTTTATAACTTCTTTCATGGAATTGAGTAAGAGCTCCATCTGCATATAAACTTCTTCAAAACTATTTCTTGAAATCTTTCTGAGCAATGCTATTGTAAAAAAAAAAAAAAAGAAAAACATCCGTCCAAGAAAACCTCACATTCCATGTATTAGTTTACAGTCGTCTTCTTTGACATCCCGTCCCTCTTTGTGGTTTTTTTGTGCATCCTAAGTGCTGACCGCTGTCAAAACATCAGCCATAAATTCATCACTAACATTCTTAAAATTGGATGAGGAGGGACTGAATACTCTGGCAGTACAAGTCAGGATGACAATGAAGTTGAAGGTTGAAAATATGTTTTGTGTTTTTTTTTTTTTTTTTTTTTTTTTTTTCTTTTTTTTTTTTTTTTTAAAAAAAAAAATTTTACAAACGGGCCCCAGGGA